CCCCCCCCCCCCCCCCGACTCTAATTTATTGCCCCCCAAAAGGTTTCAAGAAACAAATCTGAACTCAAGTGCTTAAGAATCTTTTTGCAGATTTCTATAGAGTATGTTGACAACTTGCAAAAACAGCTGCTCCTTCCCACCCCTTCCTTTGCTTCTGAAACAGTTATCTTGTGTCTTATTTTAACATCCTTGGAAGTGTTCTGTTTGAAAGTCACAGGGCAAAAAGCTAGCCAACTTTTGAAAGGAAATGTTACTTTAAAAAAAAAAAAAAACACAAAACAAAACACACAGGTAAAGATATCCTCACAACTTCTTTCTTTTAAAGCTAAGCCACCATTCTGTGACACAAAAAATCATTACATTCACTCTACACTATTTAGACATCTTTAAAATATATTTTTACGCAAGAATGATCAGAAGCATGATAGCAAGTCTTACCTGTTCCATGAAATGTTGTTCCCACAACACGAACACAGCTTGGCACTCTCAGATCCCAGAATCTTACAGTCTTGTCTTGGGATCCAGATGCAATCATCCAGCCACTCCATGTATAAAGTGCTAAAATATGACCTGTGAAAAAGAAGACTTCTTTATTTGATTAAATATCATTAATCAAATAATGAAATGTTACAGTTCTGATTATATTTTTGTATTCATAGATTTAACAGTCCTATGGAAAACCTGCACACAGCATGATCTAAAATGCCAACACTGTAAGGCAATAAGCAGCTTTGCATCTTCTCTGGAATGAAGCATGCGCTTTCTCCATTAACTTAACAGCCAATGTGTTTAAAAACAGCCCCCCCCACCCGAATAGCTCAAGAGCTATTTGGAGAGGAAAAAAGAAAAAATCTTGCTAGAAAGAAAAACACAAGAGACATCAAAAAAACCAACCAACAAGTTTATTAGAATAGAATACAGACTTAAAGAATATGAGAGAGAAGCAACAACATACATACCAGTGTGACCACTTAGAGCATGCAGGCCTTGTCCTCGCTGACAATCTGTTGTGTAAATATTACAGTCCCCTGCTCCAGCACTTATTAAAATAGCACCACCACTTTCTGGGCCTTCCATAAAAGCAAGGTCTCTGATTGTCCCATCATGCATGCTGAACTCCAAATCTGGTCCTAAAATAATTTCAAAATCAAGGAACAAAATGAGGCATACTTTGTTTATCACTGTTAGTGCTGCAATCTTTAAAGCAGCTACAGTGATAATGCAGAATATTTTAGGCAAGGGTAGATATACTACCAAGTATAAACATCGCTGTGCACTCTCCATAGAATACTCCAATGCATTTACTAGAGTTCAAATAAAATCTCTCAAGAATCTTATTTTTATTGATTGTTGCTTAAGCTTCCTACAGTTCCTAAAGCTTTGCAAAAACTACATGGGCCATCTCCACGGCCAGTTCCAGCCAAGATTAGAGTACATTTATTTCTTTTTGTAAACTATGGTAAATTGAAAAGGCTTTCTCTGCCAGGAGGGATCATTGAGGACACTGAACCACATAGGACAAAAGAGCCTAAGCTTGAAACAGAAAAGATAAGAGCCATATTCAGTGTATTGATTAGGAGGGTTTGGGCATGGAAAATAGTATTTGCTGGGAGAGAAGCCTTAGACTTCTAAGATGCAGGAGAAGATGACAGAGCTAGAACAGGCAAGAACAAGGGGAACTGGAATGGAAATAAATTCCTACTGACAGTGAAGAACTAGAGTTGGGTAAGACCATTTGGTTGTTTTACCGTGTCTGAAAAAAAAAACTACCAGAAGACAGCACAATACCAGCGTCTCTTGCAAAACAAAACCAAAATGCAAACAAACAGAAAACCAAATCAAACAAAACCCAAAAAGTAATCCCCAATGCCCCAGTGGCTCTTTGCTGGACAGAGACTACAGTGATGGTGAAAGGGAAGACAGACAAAGTATTAGAATAAAAATAACAAAACCTATTAACCACATAGTCAATGTAATTTGAATCATTTTGCCAAATATTGGACAAATAATTAAAAAGAAATTCTTCAAACTACACACACTACCTGTTGCATTACAAGTTTCTGCATTAAAAGGCAGTACTTTCACATATTTATCATTAGAACCAGTAGCTAACAGCTGTCCACAGGGACTCCAGGCTACACAGTAGATTGATCCTTTATGATGCTTGTTCCTTTTGAAGCGAACTACAGGTTGTTTAGGAGTATTATAAGCACTGGAAAAAAAAAAAAAAAAAAGAAGAAAAACATCCAATTTCTTTTTATTTGTAAGGAAAACAATGTATTCTAAAATGAAAATACTGTTTTTCTATTATTTTAGGTTAGCACGAAATACATATGTGACTGTTTGCATTGAAACATATACATGTGATCTGAGACAAGATAAAACGATCTTCTCCATCCCATTTTCTCAGTCTTTACTCATCTTCCCATTGTATTTGTGACTGGATATGCAAAAAGAAGTTACACAGTCCCTTCATCTATAAGGGGTCAATACAGATATAATACAGTAATTACTAGCTACATACAATGAAGCCTTATCCCTAGAGTCCTAAATTAGCGGGATTTTTGTCTACACCCTTTGTACTTCAACACCGTGATCCTGTGGCCACTTTTGAATGTGCTTGAGTTCAGTCAAGCAACAGTAGGCCAAGAAAGCTCATAAGGCACACACTATCTACAGTAGCGCCCAGTGCAGCTGGCGTGGTTAAAGGCTGGATCTGGGACTAAACTATCAGGCTGCAGGTTGGAAAATCCAGATTCCTGAAAGAAGAAAGCAGAAGCCTGTGTAACCTCTGTATATGTGGGCAGGAAAGTGTTTCTCCTCCAGTTTCCCACCCACCAGACGTAATCCCTAACTGGGGACTGTGTTTGGTCTCACAGCATAATTTCATGACTGGTCTCCATATACTTGTGTTTGGGGCTGTTGTTGTGCCTAGTAGTACTGTAACAATAAAAATTGAGGCCTGCTGTTTTATCCAGAAAGTTTTTGTCTATGCCATTCTTGCTGTCAGAATGAGTGGGACTCATCAAGCACTTAAAGTGGTTAAAGGATCAAGAAAAATGCTTCTGTGTTAATCACACCTGGGAAGACACAGAAAAATACTGCATTCAAGTACTGTCTCCTCTTTGGCCATTAAATAAATAACAAAAAAACCCATGTAACAAAAGAAAAAAGTCATACATGTTCATCATTATGAACTGCGAGCTGTGCATCGGATATTATTTGTTGGGTAAGGTGACCCTGAAAGCTTCACTCATCTACTAGAAAAGCTAATACAGCAGTCTGCGCAAGAAAGACACATTCACCATTATATGTTAATGCAGGAATCTTCACGGCATCTAAACATACCATACGCTCTTATTTCTGAAACCAGATCAGCTTTACACATGGCTGAAATAAGAGGAACAGTCCCACTGGTGTACATTTCCTCTATTTCAATCGATTAATTTCCTACAATGTTATTTCTCCGTTCCCATAGCAGGAAGTAGTCAAGTGCTTAAGATAAAGTACTGCTGTATCCAACTCCATCAACATTCACTCCAGTAACATCAACAACAGAAATTCAACAAATTAAATTGCTACTGAAAAATTGAGAAACCATACTATAAATATTTGAAGAACAGAGGCAGAGAGAAAAAAACCCAGAAGACAAACATCTAAGTCTGTTTCGAAACTTTTGAGATAAACATGGCTTTAATAAAGAACACTAAAATAAATCTACATGGAAGTGAATTTTTACTTTGTTGCCAGAGAGGAAATCCATGACAGATTAACCTAAATCAGAATCACCATTCAACACGTATTACAGAGCTTCCTAAATGGCCTAATGCCTTATATCACACTGAGAGTTTGGACTCACAACATTTGTTAAGAGGTGGAGGCAGCAGCTGACAATCACTGACTTTGTCAGGACATGGGAGCACTCGCCCAGCACAGAGACCACATGCTGCCAATCAGCTGTGTGGAAGCACTGTTAATATTTGAGCAACATCTGCAGAACTGTGACATGTATCTATCAGTGTTTAATCTCAAACATGTGAAAACAGAACACTACTATTACACCTTTAGAGAAAGGGGGGGGGGGGGGACCAACCCACAAAACAAGGCCAAAACCAACCTGTCCTGAATCATACATCAGTTTGAAGGACAATTTTAAGAACTCAAAAAATCCCAGCAAAACTTTGATGTACAATTAAACAACTGCTATTTAGCAGATACTCTACACAATTATAGCTTTTTGAAAAACATGAAAAAATGTGAATGTGTGTCTAGACTCAGGTTGTCACAATATGAATATCTTTAAGATAATGTAATCTCTCTGCTGACTTGTAAATCCCATGATGAAATGTTTTTGGCAGACCGTCAGCACAGTGGAAAAAAAAAAAAAATGAGGAAGTACCACGAGTTCAGAATTAAGGAAATCTCAGTGTTCTTTTCATATCCAGATGCACTATGTCACTCGTCACATCAGATCATGCACTGTAACTAGAGACTAAGGCTGCAGAGTCAATCTAACCTTTCCCAATGGTTAGAATCAGTTGTGTGGGAGCAGAGTTAGTCAATAAGGAGGTGTTCATTCCACTGAAAATGTTTTGCACTGTTGGCCAATCAAGAGGAGGTTGTCTGGGCTGCAAGCCCAGCAAGTCAGCTTGCACTGGGTATCAGAGAAATCAACTATTTTTTTGTTTTGTTTCATACATTACCAATAAATATTTTGGAATTAAATTTCAAAGGTTACCTTACTGATGTTATTTATGGAGGAAAAGGGAAAAAAAAATCAGATTACTAACACTTTGGAAGCCTGAACATGAGTCCTAAACTGGGAAGGTGTTCCAGATAAAGTCACTGTGCATATTTGTAGCTCCTTCTGAAATTGTGACATTTTAGATACCTGCACTTCCCCCCTACTCCAGGAAAATAATGTAATTGGAGCAGAGACAAGGAGATCGTTACCGAGATGGCCATTGATTATTGATTCCTAGTTTTTACCTTCATTATAAATAATCCAGCCACCAAGCCAGGAAACATGAAATTGCTACTATACCCTTAATTGGTTTAGTGGTGGACTTGGTAATGTTAGGTTAATGGTTGGACTGGATGTTCTTAAAGGTCTTTTCCAACCTAAACAATTCTATGATTCTATGGCAATATTTATTTCTAGGTGAAAAAGTATTTTTCCCCCTCCTATTAAAAAAATGGTAGGTGCACAGTAAACCACAAATAGCACTTTTCTTGTCAAGGAACCAAAGTAACAGGAAAACAATGTTTATAGTAGCAACGGGCCAATAGACCTGCTCTGGCAAATTTTGCTGTAAAAGTTGAAGAAGATACTGCTTTCTCTACTGTTAAGTCTGTCCTCCTGCCAGAACCTGCATCTCATGAAGCTCAACTTGTGCTGGCTTGGGAACTGACACATGCTTTCTGCCACTTTACAGCTAGAATATCAAAACCAGAAGCCATCACAGTAAACACAGAAAAGCCCACCTGCTGAGACGAAAATAACACTTTTGTAAGGAAAGGTGTGGTATTGTGGCAATGCATCTTGACAGTAATGGAAGAGAGCAAAAAAGTAGCTCACAAATACGCAAATTCTTCAGCTGATGATCTTATCTTTGTTTGGCAGTTCAGGTTTCTAAGGAAAGCATTGCACTATTCATGACAACAAAATAAAGGTATGAAATGTACAGATATCAGTAGCTACAGGAGAAAGAAGTGCTATGCTACAGAAAAAGAAGTGATTATACAAGCTCTCTTACCTTGGGTCAATTACTTCTGGATAGGCACAAACTCTCAAAGTTTTAGAGTTGGAGCCAACAGCATACAAACTCCCACTGGGATGAAAGGCTACAGCTCTGACAGCTTGTGTGTCTTCTAGAGTATTAATGCAAATGAACTGCTTTTTTGATTTGTCATCCTGTGTAGAAGGATAACAGTCAAATTAGGTTCTTCAGCGTAAACTGGACATTTAAAAATGGATGTGACTGTTTCACTGAATAATGTAAAACTATTCTACCAAAGTATTAATGAATAGTTTTAGCCTGGTGCTGCTACTTAAATAACAGATTTGTAAAACAATGTCTACTCCAGGTCAAGGAATGGCATACTTCAAAAAGTTCTGTTCTTCAACTCACTCTTACAACTAACATTAGATAAACATTTCTCATTCTCCCTCCAGGCTTCCAACAGCTTTTGTTCTTCTAAACAGCCCATCTCAAAACCATGATATTACAGTTTGTTTCTCTGTAAACATTTTTGATCTGTGTGAAACTTGCAAGGGGAACAAAGCTGCATTTTTCTGAAAACACTCCTATTCATAAACACAGTTTATAAAACAAATATAATACTAAACATAAGAATCAGCTTTTCACCCTGTAGATAACACAGTTATCATTACATTACGCTAAGCTTTGTTACATCATCCTCCAGACAACTTCATCACCACCTTTCTAAAATTTTGATTTTTATTTATCTGGTGCAGAACATTAGAATGTACTTATTGCAAAGTTATTTCCCTGAAGTCAGACTATACTGACTGGAGTCCAACAATCAAAGTTTCAACCTGGGGAACCTCTTTTGTACAAGGAGAAGCTGAAAGAGCTAGAACCATTTGGCCTGGAGATCAGAAGGCCTTTCAGGGTGTGTGCTTGTAAGTCTTATCAGTGTATATAAATACCTGATAGGAGGAGTAAAGAAGAGTGAGTGAAACTCTTATCAGCGGTACCCAATTACAGGACAAGACGTAATGGACACAAATTGAAATACAGGAAATTCCATTTAAACTTTTTTGTTGTTTTAAAAACACTATGAGGGTGGTCAGACATGGGAACAGGTTGTCCACAGAGGCTGTGGAGTCTCCATCCTTGGACATACTCAAAACCCAACTGGACCCAGCCCCAAGCAGCCCATTCTTGTTGACCCTTCTTTGAGCAGCGGGTTTGGACTCAGTCTCCAGAGGTCCCTTCCAATCTCAATGGTTCTGTGATTCTGTAGGTACTGCATCAACCAAAATTCATTCTAAATATCTATTAACAATGAGAGGATGTCAAATGCTCAGGATTAAATACTGAATCTTGTGAAAACATAAATTGTAAAGGACAATGAGAAAACTCACCTCATCGCCTCTTGTCCTAGTTAAATTCCCTGAAGAGTCTTCCAACTGTGGCTGAGTGACAGCATGCTCTGACACACTGTTTTGATTTGGTGAAGAATTTAAATTCACAACAAGAGAGCAAAAACAAGAGCAAGGACAAATTTGCTTGTAAGTATTTTTTGGACTAAAGTTACAGTTTCAGTCATACTCAGAAAAGACTAATTTATGTGGACAAGTGTTATGCGTGTCTGATTCTTTACCATTACACTGTAATCTTTACAAGAGGTTGCTGGTTTTGCAGCAACTCCAGGCATTGAACAAGTGAATGCAAGTTAAAAATACTTGTTTTCTTTTTCTTGTATACACATACACACACACACATGGAAAAATGGTTGTTGCTTTCAGGTCAGCACTACCTTTAGTTAACAGAAGAAATCCAATTCCTACTCTACCCTGCCTCTCTCTCCATCTAGTTTATATTAAAAAAAAAAAAGCTTTCAGAAACTTAGAACACTAAATAAACAAGAAGTCTACATATAAGATTGAATAAAAAGTCCAGAATTAAAAATAAGCATAAAATGTAAACCATAACAAATAACCATTATTTCTCATGTGTGCTGTCAAAAAAAATTTTTTTTATAATCCCTACAAAATATATAGAGAACACTGATCATGAGCTAAATACCCCTATTCAATGACAAATTCATTTGATAACTAAAAATAAATACGAACACCTACTCCAACAGTGCTAACGGAAGGACATTTCTAGTCCTGAACAGTCTCACATAACTTACGTTTGATTCCCCTGTACAGGTGACTCTTCAGGAAAGGGTATCTGATTAGCTGATCCACGCTTTCGAGGAGTGCTTGTGTTAACATTTTGGCTATCAGTTGCTATCCTCTGACTAGCATCTGAAGGTGGTGATGTAAAGTTACTTGCTGGATTGGTAGATGCATTCCCTTTGCTCCCGTTACATTGCTGGCTAAGTGTTTGTACATCATTTCCAAGACTGTCCATACCCATATTTAATTCTCCTAGTTTCTGGATAGATCTAATAACAAGTGACAAGGGGGGGAAAAAAAAAAAAAAAAAAGACCATCAAAACAGGTTATTATAAGAACATGAGGAGGGACAGGAGTGGGTAGAAGGAGAAGCAACAAAACTCCCCAACCTGTTAAGAAACTGTTCAGTAAGATTCTGTTGCTGGTCAGCTCCATCTTCTTGATTTACACCTCCTTCCAACAACATTTGCTGGTACAACTGTCGTTGTTGCTCTTTCTGTTCTAAGTGCTGCTGGTAGCGTAGTCTTTGCCTGTAATATTCCTGAAACTGCTCTGTTGAATCACGAAGCTTAAAAGAAATGAGAATTACTAATGAAAATTAAATAGTTAATTGCGGTATTTAACCTAAATATTCACTCTCTGGTTCATTATTTCAGTACAAGCATCAAAAGGCCAGCAGATTCTCTTCTGAGGAGCAATGCTTTTGTTCTTCCCTAAAACCACATACAACTGACATATTAAAAACTGAAATCGCTGCCAGCCTGTACTATTCACCGTTGAAGTAGTTCTGCCCTAATTCAGAAGACTCCTCTTTCCTATAAAACTTCTGCAGTATTACTTAACATCAAAACAAATAGGTGATTAGAAACTGAAAAGAAAAAAAAAAAATCAGAAAACAACGTAAGCTATACTCCAAATTCCAAGTCATATTTTCACTACAGATTTAGTATTTTCTGCGACATTGACACTTCTCTGCCATCAGTCTGCAGAGCAGATTTACCTCTCCCAGTAACCAACCTTGAAGTGGTCTATCCAAGTGTTACATCTTACTCTTGAAATTGGTACCTTGTTCTAACTTTACAATTCCTTACTTTCTAGAGCAGGCACAAAATACTTGAGCTTCCTTTCTCATAGTCTCTTCCCTTTTATCTGTAGCTTCCCACACTGCCAGCTCCTCAGGACTCCCTGCCTTCTGCATTCCCTGATCCTCACTTTCTCTCTGTGCCACTAGTTCTAAATGACACCATCATAAACCAGCTGAGAACAAGTTAAAAATGAACAAACAAAAAACCAGAAAACCAGAAGAACTTTAGTCCAAGGCTAAAATATCAACACTGAAAAAAACCCTTAACTGGACACTTACCAAACTAGTAGGAAAAAAAAAAATAGTAGTAAAAGAAACCTGGTGGATTTTTTTTTTTTGTTTTCAAAAGTGATATCTTTGTCATCTAGTGACTTTAAGTTGTGTAAGGACATCCTGATAACTTTGCATTAGTTCAGACAATTCATGCAGAGGATCTTTCTTCATAACTATGAGCCTTTGTATTTCTTCTAAATAAAACCACTTGCATTAGAATTCTGTGTTCTCTAACACAATAATTTTTTGGTTTATAATGGCTTTCCTAGCTCTGTTGCATTTGTAAAGAGTTCTCCACCTGAGATGAATACTTGCAATTTAGAAACTCTGAAGTTGTCTTCAGAAGTCTAGAAAGCATTCTCTGTATTTCAAATACGTGAACTATTCCCCCAGTCAGCAGGTTATAATCCTTCTAAGCAACAGGTACAGTCTTGTCTATACTTCTTTCCAAGACTGACACTTGTTTGTTGCAATTGGATTCAATCCTTTGATCCTTTAGTTTGGGTAATAATGATACAGAATCCAACACCTAAAATGTGTTGCTCAGATGCTCTATGCTATAAACTCTGGCTTCTAACTCAGCCCCTCCAGGAACAACACAAAAATAGAGCTACGAAAAGAAATTTCAATTAATTTCTTACTCACACAGGTATACACATATACCACTGTGATGTGGAAAACAAAACGAGGTGAAACTGGACTGGGAACTACATTCTTTTCTACTTGTGTCTAACAGCCTGGCCAACATCTTCACCTACAGCACAGTGTCTCCTGTCTTCATTCTCTCCTATAAATTCTGCATCTGGTTTTTTGCCTTTTGAAGCCTGCTCTGTCATACATCTAGCTAAGCTCTTTCCTTCCTCCCCTTCTTCCCAATGTGCACACACAGCGTTGTTGCAGCAGAGAAGTTACTCAGCAAAGTCCTTGAGGGGAGTGAAGTCCTCAAGTTTGGAGGACTTGTTAATCCTCCAGTAAGCCCCGCTGCCTCACTCAAGTATCCAGAGTTTACAAGAGTATAGCCCTGTCAAGACTAGACTGGTTTTCAATACCGTATAGATGTCATAAACCAAGACAAAGTTTACTTCAGAAAATCAAACTGGAGTCTGCGAACAGACCACATACTCAATGTTATTCATCATTACTAAATTAAGAGGCAGATATTTAAAACTGAGGAAAGGGAATAGAATAGGTAACCATTTTCATTGTTTTGTACTGAACTATTTCACTTTCCCCATATTGCTGTTAAGGAGAAAAAAAAGGAAAAAAGGATAGTCAAGGCATAAGCCTTCAAAGATTAATCCAAAAAATGGTTATGCTATCGGACTCTGAATAGCAAAGACACATTTACCAGGGAATTATCCAATTTTAATTTCTCTCTGTCCTAGACAAAATGACGTAAGATGACCTATGAAACTTGGTATTAACACCAAAAATTGCAGGCTACATGCCAGATTCTTTGCTAAAACACTAAGAGGATTCTTAAGCATTGTTTCATCTAACATTGCTGGCTCCGAGTACTGCAAAGCTTTTTTTTTTTTTTTTTTTTTAAAAGATATGCAACAGTTTAGCAACACTGCTGATGTGAGGAGGCACACTAATCAGCTGCAATATAGGCTTAAATGACAGCAGAACTTTATACAATGGGGGGAAAAAGAAAAAAAAGAGTAGTTTCTTATACAAGATGCAATATGGTATTTTCACCATAGTAAAAACAAGATTCAAAGCAACCCATTGTCATGCATGAAGTTCTCAACACAAAGGCAAATCATTATGAAGTGATCAGAACACAGCTCAAAGGGCCTCATTATTTTTAAACAAACAACCACTACCTCATTTTTCTCTTGTTTGGCTGATCCCTGACTCTGTGCTCCATTAACTGGTTCATTTTCTGGAACTGAATTCTGGCACAAAGTCTCACTGCTGATGGGATGCTGCGGCTCCACGGGAGTATCACTTCTTGCAGCAACATGGAAGAGAAGAGAAGCTTAATTGTGAGAAAAATTAAGAGTAGAAAACCCCCTGGTAAGTAGAGAAAGATAACATTTTAGAGTAAAATCTGGTAACACAAGTATGCAAACTTCTTAAGTTACATAAAACTGAAGATACTGCTTAGGAAAAAAAATGCCACTTGCAATGGGTTACTCTAAACAAAACAAAACCCCTAACAAACAAAAAGCACGTACAGTCAGTGTGCTTTGTCTCCACATTTTCCAAAAAGCCTTACCACAATGGGATATCCAAATTCCATGTTTTCTATCCCTACACTCGAATTCTATACCCTTTAACTAGCAAGTTATTCAAGATGTCCTGTTTCCAAAGCAATTACGTGCATGGAATGTATCAGATATACTAATGTGACTAATGTCTTCTATAAGATATTAGTATCATTACCACTATCAACCTAAGTTTAAATATATTTAACATCCATCAGCTTGAACATTCCTGAAAGTGCTACACAGGAAAATGTTTATATCAGTTTTGCTATTCTTGTATCGTGTAAGTATTTCTGCATGGAACTGTTTCCAAAATGCTTTAGCAATCAGTAAGCGTGCAGAACACATTAAAAGCTTTGGATTCCCATCTTCAGTTTTGTCAACTTACAAAGTCCTCTTTACTCAGTGACTTGGAGTAAAGCTCTTTAAGAAGTTATTTTGAACTTTATGGGTATAATAACAAAAGTAACCTAGCTGACTAAAAGACAAGTAATTGCTTGCTGAATACAACTTACAAAAGAAATCATAGAATTATAGAATTGTTTAGGTTGGAAAAGACCTTTAAGATCATCCAGTCCAACCATTAACCTACGCTACCAAGTCCACACTAAACCAATCAAGGGTAGACTAGACTAAACCATGTCCCAAAGTGCCACATCTACCCGTTTTTTGAACACTTCCAGGGATGTCATGTGCAAGAGGAAGCAAGGGCCAGATTTACATGAAGTTCAGCTTCCCAGCTTCCACCCTTGCAAATACTGCCACGTAAGTTGGACACTTAATCTGAAGCTGGACTTTTTTCTCAAAAATGTAATGTCTTCTTAACTATGGGTCTGGCCCCTTCACCTAATTCTAACCTTCAAGAGATGTATTAATTAATGAAAAAACATGTTAAGATCTATCAACTTCACTTAACATCACATGCAAACACCTACACAAAGAAAAACTGCAGGAATTTACCACTATTTAGCCCACAAGATAACTCTATTTGTGCAGAATTATTCCAGTACACTAAAATTGAAAAAGGATACAAAAAACTTTTGAGAATCAGTTTTAACATTGGTCCCTGGGCTACATGCAGAAATGTTAAAGTTTGTGCGTACAGATGAGTAAAATTAGAGGATTCACAATTCATTAGTATCTTCAGGAGGTAGACTTTTTAAAAAAATGGAACTCAAGAGATACTTCCGTAAGACTTAAGCTATCCATAAAAACTCCAGTTGTGAAGAGGCTGGTAAAACCAAAGACTTAAAGTGGATCATTTAGAATCAAATTAAATAGCTCCTTTCAAGATAAGCATTAAGAGAACGTATTATGACATGCATTAGTGAAAAAGTTTCCATTATTACTGGTGAACTGACATCAGTGTGATGGTATTTGTTTCCTTTTTATTGAGTTTAGTTACAACTGCTCTTTATCTTAACACAAGATGCGAAATAGTGCTGTAGGCAAAACTAATAGACAACGTCACCAACTGCGGCCAGAATTGAACACCACAGCTCTAAAAGTGTCCTCTGCTGGCCACTGCACCCAAGTGCAGTGCTAACTACCCACCTGGTTCTCTAAGAGCCAAAAAAGCTGGCAGCTGCTTTCTAGAGAGGCATGGATATAACACTCAGAAACGGGCAGAACTGCTGATCAAAATAAAGGCCAAGCAAAACCATGATGATAAGCTCTTAATTGACAAGTACCATTTCTCCTAGTTACCAGGACTTTTCTCTCAGAAGGTAAAAAGGGCAAAATTTTGATACAGGCTTTAGTTCTTAAGGAAGGAGAGAAGTCAGTTTTGTAGTCTACACTGCATTAAAAGAAGTTATTAACAGCATTCACTGCTATCATAACCCAAGTATCTCCAAGTCCAATATAAAAAACATAATACATTCAGCTGCTTTATTCAGATTTGGTTTGGAAAATAGTAGGCTGAACTACTATTGTAATAATTGAAGTGATAGTGGGATGATGGCATATAGTTATTTCCACTGACCTCGTTGGGACTATTTCTATATGTAAATTTTTGAACTATACTCAATCATGTACAGTGTCAGGGCCAAAATTTACAGACACTTAAGGGCAGAATGGGACAGGGAAAGAAGATGCAGTGACAGCTATTCTACTGTCTCCATTTAGTTATCTGGAATTAAAAAAATTCAGTAATACTGCACGCAAATCTTAGCTAGACTATATTACATAATCAGAGCATACTTGTGCTCTGCGCTAGGATTTCTACTCTAAGAAAGTCCAGATTGAATCCACAAAGCTCAAGACCGAATATGAAAATCTACTTTGATCATAAGAGCGTAAGGAAGAAAACACCTTGCATACAGCTTTAATTACAACAGAATTTAAACAATCAAAATATGTTTCAATGTTACAATTATGTTCAAAGTTACAGTGCAGGGAAGAAGCCAGTAATATAAAGTGCAACATAAGCCAAGGTAAAAATAAAGCTACAGTTGCACTTACCGCTCAGGTGACTCTTCAAAAATGCTATGACACTCAGTGTTCTCAAGCATGAGACTTCGGCTGAGATTCTGTACTCCTGGGTAATGGAAATTGGCAAAGGAGTGTGACATTGGAGAAGTTTTGGTCCCAAGGTCTGTGACTCGCTTATCGTGATTTGTTAATCCACATGACAGCCCATCTAAGGCAGGGTTTAAGGAGCGGGTCATGTAAGCATCTGCTGACTGAGGCCGTCTCATTGGGGATGATGGATAAGGAGAAAGTTTGCTGATAAGAGGTGTCAAAAGATCAGCATACGCAGCTTTTGTAGGCTTGAGGAGTTTATCAACATGAATATTAAGCATCTTTTGTTCAAAAGCACAAGAAAAAACAGTAGCTGGCAGATTCTGCAGCCAGGATAATAAGCTAAGGTCCAAGTCATCACACCCATTACCGCACAAGAGATCAATGCCCAGCAATACTTCACTTTCTGTGATTTCTTCTCCTGTTGCTTTACTCTGACAGAATTCCACACAACATTCATAAAGCAAGCCCTTCATTACAAGCTGAAATAAACGATTGTTACTTGCTTTGAAGCCAGCCT